CGGCCAGGCGGTGTTGCCAACCCCCGCGCTGCCTGCCTCGGCTCACCAGGCGGTGTTGCCAACCCCCGCGCTGCCTGCCGGCCTCGGCTCACCAGGCGGTGTTGCCAACCCCCGCGCTGCCTGCCTCGGCTCACCAGGCGGTGTTGCCAACCCCCGCGCTACCTGTCGGCCTCGGCTCACCAGGCGGTGTTGCCAACCCCCGCGCTACCTGCCGGCCTCGGCTCACCAGGCGGTGTTGCCAACCCCCGCGCTACCTGCCGGCCTCGGCTCACCAGGCGGTGTTGCCAACCCCCGCGCTGCCTGCCTCGGCTCACCAGGCGGTGTTGCCAACCCCCGCGCTGCCTGCCTCGGCTCACCAGGCGGTGTTGCCAACCCCCGCGCTTCCTGCCTCGGCTCACCAGGCGGTGTTGCCAACCCCCGCGCTGCCTGCCTCGGCTCACCAGGCGGTGTTGCCAACCCCCGCGCTACCTGCCGGCCTCGGCTCACCAGGCGGTGTTGCCAACCCCCGCGCTGCCTGCCGGCCTCGGCTCACCAGGTGGTGTTGCCAACCCCCGCGCTGCCTGCCGGCCTCGGCTCACCAGGCGGTGTTGCCAACCCCCGCGCTACCTGCCGGCCTCGGCTCACCAGGCGGTGTTGCCAACCCCCGCGCTGCCTGCCTCGGCTCACCAGGCGGTGTTGCCAACCCCCGCGCTACCTGCCGGCCTCGGCTCACCAGGCGGTGTTGCCAACCCCCGCGCTGCCTGCCGGCCTCGGCTCACGCAGCTGCTCGCAGCCTGACATCATAGACACCCTCCCCCACCCATACACCTTCCCTCGGGTCATTCCTTGCCAAATATCACAGATTGACAGGAAATTTTGACAGGAAGGAACACAAACGAACAGACCAGATATATATAACCAAAATCATATCCCTCAGTGATGAGTGATATTCATACAGCATAGTTGACAATGTATTAGAAAATACAACTTTTGCTTCCCTCAATAACAACATTGGTTTGATTCTAATTAAGGCAGAACCTTCATGTTTTGCTAGTTTTGAAGCAAGGAAACATTTTTAATTAAAAATAGTTTTACATAAAAATACTAATTTTGTCCTTTCCAGGCTCACATGTGACCTTTGACCTGAAAAATATAAAAATGACATTAATTTTTTTTTTGGGGGGGGAACAATAAGTTATATATTTTTTTTTTGAGATATATACAAGAGTTATTACATTCTTGTACAGCCACTAGTACGCGTAGCGTTTCGGGCAGGTCCTTAATCCTACGGTCCCTGGAATACGATCCCCTGCCGCGAAGAATCGTTTTTTCATCCAAGTACACATTTTACTGTTGCGTTAAACAGAGGCTACAGTTAAGGAATTGCGCCCAGTAAATCCTCCCCGGCCAGGATACGCCAAAGCCATTTTGGGATGGCTTTGGGAAGACCAGCAAAAAACTTATAATGTATATGTAAAATTATATATGTATAATGTAGTTCTTAAACCCTTCTTGCACTAAAGGGTCCATGGGTAAGTTGAGTTTTATGTGACAGCATCTCCCTGCCCAGGGAGCCGAGCGGACAGCACGCTGGACTTGTGATCCTGTGGTCCTGGGTTCGATCCCAGGCGCCGGCGAGAAACAATGGGCAGAGTTTCTTTCATCCTATGCCCCTGTTACCTAGCAGTAAAATAGGTACCTGGGTGTTAGTCAGCTGTCACGGGCTGCTTCCTCGGGGTGGAGGCCTGGTCGAGGACCGGGCCGCGGGGACACCAAAAAGCCCCGAAATCATCTCAAGAGATAACCTCAAGATAACCCGCCCCGCCCCCCCCTCCCCCAGGCTGTCTGCTGTCTCGCCCCCAGCTCTCCCCCGCTGTCTGCTGTCTCACCCCAGCTCTCCGCAGCTGTCTGCTGACGACGCCAGTAATAAGTACTGGGCGTGTACTGGTGACACTGTCATCTCTACCTGTTCCCTGGGGCTGCAGGCCGCAGGCTCCTGCGTGTTTACCTGTTAAATTCGTATCGTACACGAACGCTCGCTAGCGATTGGTTATGAATAATAGAGTCATATGCAAACATAACTCTGATTGGTTATAAATCTTGAATCCGCGCGAAAGCTGCAGCGGGATTCGCTATAAAAGGGCGGCGACTTTTCAGGAGGTCGTGGTTCGGGGCTGCTACTGCTCCTGCTGCTGAAGTCTGCCAGCCTGCGTGCGTGTATTCACCCAGCTGTGCTTGCGGGGTTTGAGCTCCGGCTCTTTCGGTCCGCCTCTCAACTGTCACTAACTGCCCCCCCCCCCAATACAAACACACACACACACACGAAGCAGTCCGTAGCAGCAGTCTGACTCCTAGGTACCTATTTACTGCTAGGTAGCAGAGGCATCAGGATGAAATAAACCCATTTACTTGATACCTGCTTGATGAGGTTCTGGGAGTAGTTCTACTCCCCAAGCCCGGCTTGACTCGTCAAAGCTTGGTCCACCAGGCTGTTGCTTGGAGCGGCCCGCAGGCCCACATACCCACCACAGCCCGGTGGGTCAGGCACTTACTGAAGAAAACTATCTAGGTTTCCCTTGAAGATGTCCAAGGTTGTTCCGGCAATATTTCTTACACTTACCTTACTCTAGCTCCTACCTGAAGGAACCTACCGACAGAGCCTATTGGGCTGGAACACGGCGCTCAACCACCTCCACAGCGTCAAAGTTGCTGACTTTGAAGTTAAGAAGAAATATTAGCGTTTGTAAGGAAGAAAGTTACTGCAGATCTAGAGTGTAGAGAGAACGTCGACGAACCTTGAGTCAGTGATTCCCTGTCTTAGGAGGGAATGTATTTTGTTTTCATGTATGTTCAGCTGTGCACCTTTATCCATAATTTTAAGGTAATCATTGACGTGGGTGGTGAGCCCCGTACCCTCTGCCCCCAGTACCGTGAGCCCCGTACCCTCTGCCCCCAGTACCGTGAGCCCCGTACCCTCTGCCCCCAGTACCGTGAGCCTCGTACCCTCTGCCCCCAGTACCGTGAGCCCCGTACCCTCTGCCCCCAGTACCGTGAGCCCCGTACCCTCTGCCCCCAGTACCGTGAGCCTCGTACCCTTTGCCCCCAGTACCGTGAGCCTCGTACCCTCTGCCCCCAGTACCGTGAGCCCCGTACCCTCTGCTCCCCTGTACCGTACATAACATTCCTTGCAACACGGGTAAACAAAAAACTGCCAATTAGTTATCAAGAGACACTAGCCCACAGGATTATCATAAACTTAACATTATATAAACACCGTCCACGACAACGCTGTCTTAACATACACAATGAAATAACACAAACGTGGTTTCAAACAAGACAAATCGTACTCGGCATTTACAGCAAAACACACACACACACAGACGGGTGAAGACCAAGGTATTTACACAAAAGTTCACACATCCTGTGGACATTTAAAGGCAAGATATACTCGAGCGCTCAACCCCACCCGTTCGTTCTCAGCTTCATAAATATTATTGTAGCGAAACATGAATCCCAGGATTTACCCTGAGTAACTACTTGTTCATGGTGTATATTCCTACCCAGGAGCCTCCTAACCCAAGCAACCCTCCTAACCTGAGTCCCCCAGAACAACAGGTAGAGAACAGGTATAGTCACAGCCTCTCCACCTAGCCTCTCGAGGGTCATGCATAGAAAACGTCAATTTACCGGGTTTCAATGTTTCTGTCCGGTCCAAAATGCAACATATAGGGAGGGGGGGAGAGAGGGGCAGGGGGTGGAGGGGGGGAGAGAGGGGTAGGGGGTGGAGGGGGGGGGGGGGTGATGCAACAGTCATCATCCTCCTCCTCCTGCCTGTCAAGGTCAGTCTTGCAAACAGTTTACGGCCGGGTACAAAATGACTTATTTTTGAAGTGTATAATTAACACCTCCGCCCCGCCCCGCCCCCCCCCCCCTTACCCCCTCCTGAGATACTTGCCTCATGTGTCATCGCTCGCTCCGTCCCTCGCGCCCTACACATACAATTATATATATATATATATATATATATATATATATATATATATATATATATATATATATATATATATATATATATATATATATATATATATATATATATATATATATAAGTTCTAAGGGTACCATCTCTGGTGCCATTGTAGGGAGCCGTAGCCTCGGAGTAAGGGATAAAGGGAAAAGAAAACTTGCCGTTTGACTAAATACCTCCGAGTATTTGCATCTCCTGCCACCTCCCTTTTTTATTTTGAATGTTGTGCACTTTATTATACAAGCTTACACAGTTACATAGGCGACTGGTTACAAAATGTGGACATTAAAGAGGGAATAAAAAGAGCTTTTCTAGAGGCTGTAGATTTCTTCGAACTCCTCAGACGCCGGGCAGGAACCAAAGATGCTGCGGGCATTCCCCCCTCTGGATCGTCACACTGAGGCGCTGGAAGGTAAGGGTGTGTGTGTGTGTGTGTGTGTGTGTGTGTGTGTGTGTGTGTGTGTGTGTGTGTGTGTGTGTGTGTGTGTGTGTGTGTGTGTGTGTGTGTGTGAGTGTGTATTATATTTTACACATTCTCACCAGGCGCCGTCTCTTCCACCTGATTGGCTGTGGCTGTGAAATAAGAGAAGAGCAGAAACAAGAACACACAGCTGTGGAGGCGCACGTGGGGCTGAGTCATCACTGTTTACTGTTGTAAGCCCCCCTCCCCCCCCCCCTGCGACACACATCTGGGTACCAGGAAGCTACTGGCTGCTGACTCTGAGAGCAGAGGAATATGGCCTGCTATACTGGGAAGTGTGGCCGGGGGGGAGGGGATTAGTGGGCGAGGGGAATGTAAGGAATGGTTGAAAGTGAAGAGTGAGAGTAAGGGGAGGGGATGAGGGGTGGAGTGATGGATAGGAAACAAACTTTGGGAAATATATGGCTTGTTGCGAGTAGGTAGGAGAATGAGGTGAATGGATGAAGATATGCAGCAGAAGCAGGTGAAGGTGTGACAGGCAGGCAGGCAGGCAGGCAGGCAGGCAGGTCTCACCTCGTGTGTTGACACCGACAGTATGGAGCAAGATGGTGTACTCGTTGTAGGTGGGGAGGGTAGTGGTGGCCGCCACACCCCGCCCCGCCCCACACAAGATGACCACCACACCCAGCACCTGTGCTGCTAGGCCGCCCCGTCCCCTCCTACAGGAGGCCGCAGCCGCCCTCTGGCTCCCGGCAGCGACCAGGTCACAACACATGCTGCTCACCCCTCACACAAGCAGTCGGCCAACACCGCTGACACCACAGTTCCACACAGCGTCGCACAACACACCGTTTTCCTCTGGGATTTACTGTGGGACATAACACCATCTTCGTTACCTGCGCCTATCGTTATTGTCACCAACACCGTTATTCACTGGTATCATTATTTCCCCCCCCTGTCACCTCACTCCACCGACACCCTTCCTGCTTTTACTGTCGGCGATCGATTTGGCACAGTGCCTTCACACTCCGCACTCTCATCCCTTCCCAATGCTATAGTCATACTGGCACAGTGCCACCTTCATATTATTATCCCCCCCCCCATCCAAAACAAACACTAATTACCACTGGTGTTGGTAATTAGTGGTTTCTGATGATGCTCTACAACATCAAGTAAACACCGCTATTTAACCACACTCAGGGGACGTAATACCTGCACCAACAGGCAGGTCGATCAACTCCCCAACAAACCAGCTCCAGTGACTATATACAGTTAAGCTACAACTTGAAGGCCACTGATCCTGGGAAGGTGGAGGCGGTAAGATAATTGTACACAACCTTCCACCTTGAAGGTCAGACCAGGTCACGTACGGGAACGATTGTGCCGTCATTGATATTGTTAAGTAGGTCTATTAGTTCAGCAAGATGGATGGGAGGGGGGGGGGAGAGGGAGTTTAACGGTGGAGTTTACTTGTACCTGTATTACTTGTAAACTTAGTCAAGTTTACTTGTTTCTCTAATAGTGTCATTGTGTTTGATTACTATGTGCGTGGCCCCCAGTACCCGGGGTACCCCAGTACCCCCATGGCCCCAGTACTGGGGCCACGTGCTTCCCGTGGCGTGGGGATTTACCTCGACATAAGGATATATATATATATATATATATATATATATATATATATATATATATATATATATATATATATATATATATATATATATATATGTCGTACCTAATAGCCAGAACGCACTTCTCAGCCTACTATTCAAGGCCCGATTTGCCTAATAAGCCAAGTTTTCATGAATTAATGTTTTTTCGTCTACCTAACCTACCTAACCTAACCTAACCTAGCTTTTTTTGGCTACCTAACCTAACCTTACCTATAAATATAGGTTAGGTTAGGTTAGGTAGGGTTGGTTAGGTTCGGTCATATATCTACGTTAATTTTAACTCCAATAAAAAAAATTGACCTCATACATAATGAAATGGGTAGCTTTATCATTTCATAAGAAAAAAATTAGAAAAAATATATTAATTCAGGAAAACTTGGCTTATAAGGCAAATCGGGCCTTGAATAGTAGGCCAAAAAGTGAGTTCTGGCTACTAGGTACGACATATATATATATATATATATATGCATGCATGCTTTCTGTCCCCAGACTTGAGGCTCACGTTGCAACCTGTCCTCTTAAAAAGAACGTCGCTTTTGGCCGTTTGTCAGTATGGCCGAATATGGACGTAATTTGAAAATGAAAAAAAATTAAATTAAATTTGGGATTTTTTTTTCAACAACAGTAAGTTAAGGGTCCTCTGATAGGTTAGGTGGGCAGGAAATGCTCAAAGTTTCAAAACGTTATGAAAAACGTTAATGGAAAGTTGCCTCTTTTAACCTTACAGAGTAAGCCGGACGACTCGAACAGAAAATGGAACAGTACGTCACTTTTGTGAGTCGATTTCATTTCAAATTACGTCCAAATTTGGCTATAGTGCGCATACGAGCCAAAAGTGACGTTATTTTTAAGAGGAGGGGTTGCACTATAACCCATGCTATATGGATATTTTGTCGAGAGCAGCTGAATCTAAAACAACAAACTGTGTCCCCCAACAAAACGAATTGATTGAATTTATGTGAATGTGTGGTAGTGTTGGTTCATCACTTTCCACCTGATGAACACCATCTCCACCACCACTACTGTCCTGCCTTACAAGCAGTAGTGTTCTGTGTCAGGCCTTGCGTCAGGAGGTCCAAGGCAGCAGCGTGGTACCCCTACATCAGGAGAGAGAGTACCAGGAGGCGCGCACACCACTAACACCCCCAACACACAACTGCAGCCACCACCAACCACCAAGACGGTCCATACGTACACCATCCAGTGGGGCGGCTTGGCGGGCTCCCGCAACACGGCCGCTACACGTTACGGACGGGTGCTGGCTGGTGACGGCAAGCCAGACACACTGGCCACCTTGCCCCCAGCCAGTCTCAACAAGCAGTGTCACTCTCACACATCCCTTGCCAGGTGTCAAGAGACAGTCGTCTGGAAGAGAATAAAACAACACATGGGGGGGGAAGACTATTATTTCACACGGCTGGCACACGCACAAGGGGACACAGGTGGAAGCTGAGTACCCAAATGAGCCACAGAGATATTAGAAAGAACTTTTTTTAGTGTCAGAGTAGTTAGTAAATGGAATGCACTAGGAAGTGATGTGGAGGAGGCTGACGCCATACCCAGTTTCAAATGTAGATAAAATGTAGATACGAGAGAGCTCGAGAAGCTCAGGAATCTGTACACTTGTAGATTGACGATTCAGAAGACTCGTTGTCTTCTGTTACTTAGGTACTCCTTTATCCAATGGAGTACCTTCCCTTTCACTCCAGCCTGCATCTTCAGCTTTTTCACTAGCCTCTTGTGTGGTACTGTATGAAAGGCTTTCTGACAATCCAAAAATATGCAGTCTGCCCACCCCTCTCTTTCTTGCCTGATTTTTGTTGCCTGGTCGTAGAATTCCATTAGCCCTGTGAGGCAGGACTTGCCATCCCTGAACCCATGTTGATGCTGTGTTACAAAGTTCTTTCGCTCCAGATGTTCCACTAGCTTTCTTCGCACAGTCTTCTCCATCAGCTTGCATGGTATGCAGGTTAGGGACACTGGCCTGTAGTTCAGTGCCTCCTGTCTATTCCCTTTCTTGCATATCGGAGCTACATTAGCTGCTTTCCAAAATTCTGGCAGTCCCCCCCTGTTGCCAGTGATTTGTTATACACTATGGAGAGTGGTAAGTACAGTGCTTCTGCTCCTTCCTTTAGTATCCAAGGGGAGATTCCATCTGGGCCTATAGGCTTTGTCACATCCAACTCTAGTAAACACTTCCTTACTTCCCCGCTCGTAATCTCAAACTTTTCTAGTGGTTCCTGGTTAACTATTCCCTCTCTTATCTCTGGAATCTCTCCTTGCTCTAAGGTGAAGAACTCCTGGAATTTCGTATTCAGTTCCTCACACACTTCCTTGTCGTTTGTAATGAATCCCTTTGCCCCTATCCTTATATTCATTACCTGTTCCTTTACTGTTGTTTTTTCTCCTGATGTGGCTGTGCAGCAATTTAGGTTGAGTCTTTGCCTTGCTTGCGACGTCATTTTCGTATTGTCTTTCTGATTGATTTTTGATTGTTGCCACCGGAGGCGGCTAGTTTATTGTGCACCCCATACTCATCCTGTGAGCGGTAGCGCAAAAAGCATTACAGAGGGCACAAAAGATCTTTATCAGACCTCATCTTAGATTATTACATAAACAATTGCATCTATCATTCACAGCTTATAGTTACAATGTCACTATAAGGTGACAGCTAGTTACAGAGAAAGTGCTATTTCAAGAGCTATATATTTACAGTAAGTCATTATACATTTATGGTAGGTCTTATCGCTAATACATAATAGTTTGACCAATGGGGATATTACAGAGTCATAGGGGAGCTTCTGTTTATTATTAGTCCTCACAATACACTACTTGTTTCTTAATCTCATATGTCGTTTATCTACTGGAAGCGAAATGTGGATCAGTGCAAGGATTTCAGGTATTTTATCCTTGGTAATAAGATAGGTTGCCATATCATACAGCGTGAGCTTAGATTTATCTCTAAAGGGCTCAATTTTACTACAATCCAAGATATAGTGTTCGAGTGTGTGTCCCAGTCTTTGTCCACACACTTTACTTCATCTAGATCCCTATACAAGCCGAACTGCCAGAGATACTTGTAGCCAAGTCTTATACGAGCTGTGGCAACATCTGTTAGTCTACTGACTTTGTTACTTGCCCCGTACACATGTTTTACTTCACACATTTCACTGTGATGAACAATGGACCTGCTAGTTCCAGTTTGCACAGTCTGCTTTCTTCAAATTCATCATGTCTTTCTGCCTCTCTTCTCATCCTGACATTCATTCCTGGCACTCTGGTATCTTTCTCTGCTCTCCAGTGTCCTGTTATTCCTATAGTTTCTCCATGACCTTTTACTTTGCTGCTTAGCTATCCTACATCTCTGATTAAAGCATGGGTTTCTCATCTTCATTTGTTTTCCTTTTGGACTAGGACAAACTTGTTTGCTGCACGTGTTCGCGCGCGCGCGCACACACATGCAAATTTGGAAACGGTGAAATTAATATTTTCCAGTTGAGAGAGAGGCAAAGCTCTACCACCAGCTCTATCTACAGGATATCCTCCCGCTATCTTTCACCACTCATGACCTTTATTTTGCTCCACCACTTCCACCGCCTCGACAAATGTGACCACGGTGTTACTGCGCACCACATGCCCTCCAAGGGAATCACCGGAATAATAGGCAGATGGATCTACAATTTCCTACCAACTCCTTGTGTAATAGTCCAATCCGGTTCATTAACCGTAAAGAGCTCAGTTTGGTAATTCCGAGGCGGGTCAGGCGCTGCCTTCTGAAGGGGGGTCGGAAGACAGTTATATTCTAGAGTAGAGAACCACCATGACGGCCCGTTCCTGTGCCAGGTAAGTCCACTACGGGCTCACCATAGCCCGTGCTACTTGGAACTTGTTCCGAGTAGCTGAATCTATAACAACCACGATGGCTCTGAAGACTCCCATCCCAGACAAGCCCAACAGCAGCAGCTTAAGGTAAGGTAATTACCACCACACAGCACTAAGCCCTCACGGCTATATAGCCCTTGGCAAGGATAGATAAGGATATAGGATAGGATGGAGGGGACAGTAACCTGTCCTCAGAGTAGAGCACATCCACTTGGACGGTCGGGGATTGAACACCGACCTGCTAGAAGCGCGACTGTCGCTACCCCATCATTAAGCCTCCCTGGTCCTTACCTCTCTGTGTCGCACTCACCAAACTTGGCGTCAGAAGACACTTATTCTTACCTCACTTGCTCGCGTTGTCCCCGTTA